AGGTAAAAAGTAGCTTCTAAGAACCCTAACTGAAATAGAACTCGTACGGTAGAGTCCTACAAAATTTCGATGTCTACATGATTATAAAAATGATATTCCATGTTTGAAAGAAGAAGAAAAAAACAGTAGAGACCACAGCCCGATCGAACCTACAATTTTTTTTTTCTTTTTTAATACTCAACTATAGAAGGGAACCATTACGAAAAGCAAATAATGACAATGGGTGAGAGTTTATATTAAGGTCATGAGAATTTCAAAATTGTCAATCAAACGTCCGATTAATTTTATACATGAATAACTTTTTTATATATATCTACCGAACGTTGTATTAATATACATGGATAACTCTTTTCTTATCCACCTACCAAACATCGTATTAATTATATTCATGAATAATTTGTATCCATCTATCAAACGCTGTTAAGTTATAGACTCTAATGCATGAATAAGCTAATTAAGACTTGTTTTATACCGCTACCAAACGACCCCTAAGGGTGGTAGATATCGTTTGTTGTTGATATGACAACTAAACTAATATGTATACTTCACGTCATGACTAATTAACGTAATTAGGTTATATAATGCAACAACCACATCCCGTGATTCTAAGGCTCCTGCTTATATTTCCAAGCTTTGATCATTTATAAAAATGATATTCCATGTTAAAAGAAGAAAAAAAGAAACAGTAGAGACCACAATCCGATCGAACCAATAATATTGTTTTTTTTTCTTTTTCATACTTAAACTATAGAATGGAACAGTTGCGAAAGCAAGTAATGACAATGTGGGAGAGTTTATATTAAGGTCTCAAGCTAAGTAATTAATATTGAGATTAACTTCTCTCCACTAAGCGTGCACAACAAAATTACACTTCATATTTAGAAATACTATTTTTTAAAATTTGATTATTATATCTTTACATTTAAAGATTATTGATTTTTCAGCTTCTCTTTTTCTTTATATTTTTTATTTTTTAAAACAAGTTTTACCGATCTAAGATTTATTTTTTGAAAGAACGTTCAAATATTTTTGAGACAATCGATTTTGAGTATTATTTAAATAAATTGGAGTACATATAATAGTATATGAATCAAATTTTGTTTTAAATTATTTTTTGTATTGTTGATTGAATGAAGTAAGAAGAGAAAATATAGTCTGAAGCAATAGAGGCACCAATCCAAAAACTTTTTCATGTTGCGAAGAACACTTAATAAGTTATGATTAATTATTTTCTAGATTTTAAAAAGAAAAAAAAGAGTAAAAAGTTATTGCTTTAATGGTGTTGCTGAAGAACGAGGTGAAAATAACGAGGGCAAGAAAGTGGTGAAAGAATCCTTCTTATTTTCGACAACCAAATAAGAATCCTAAACAAACTCCTATAATTAATTTAGAGTTTAAGTTACCATATAATACTTTTTTATTATTATTATTTAAATATTAATAATATGTGAACATATTAAAGGAAATAAGTATTTCTAAAAATGAACTGACAGTGTAATTTTGTTGTCCACTGTCAGTGAAGAGAAGTTAATCTTCTCTTTGTCTCAATTTATGTGACCTTTTCAAAATTTTGAGATTCAAACTTTTGAACTTTGACCATAAATCCAAAAATAAAAACTTAAATATTTTTGAAATAAAATTTTTATGTTTGAAAACTACATAATTGAAGTACAGTATCTAGATCAAGTTTGTCTTGACATACAGTTATTATGTTCATACAGTTCAAAATTTGAGTTCTCAGATAAACGCATAGGGTATATATATATATATTAATATATATATATATACCCTATGTATATATATATATATATATATATATATAGGTGAAAGTCTGGGTTGATGGCTTTAAATTTAAGTACATTCTGTAGAGATGACTTTGATCACTGGAATTTCTAATTAAATACTAGTGGAGACTAAAAAGCCATTTAGTATTTAGCAACAGCCATGGAGATAGCATATATGCAGGCTGTAATCAGCTAATTAAGGTACTAACTACTAAGTAATAATTAAATCAAATCCTTAACATTTTCAACAACACGCAAGCCATGCACTACCAATATTCAAGGAGACAAAAGTTTTCAATAATTGAATACTTAATATTAGTCCTGAATATATATTGTATGCTTACGTACAATTCAACCATCATCTTCAGAATTATAAACTCCTTTTCTCATTAATTCGTACTCACCTTAATTATCGACATGGCTTTGAAAAATCAGGCCTCAATTACCCTTTTCTTATCACTCAATCTCCTATTCTTTGCTCTTGTAACTGGAACAGATAATTGTGGCACTTGTGGAAATGGTGGTGGTGGGGGAGGACAAGGGAAGTGTCCAATTGATGCTTTGAAACTTGGGGTATGTGCTAATGTACTTAATTTGGTGAATGTAGTAGTCGGGTCTCCACCAACTTTGCCATGCTGCAGTTTGATCCAGGGACTGGTGGACCTAGAGGCCGCGGTTTGCTTGTGCACAGCCATAAGAGCAAATGTGTTGGGAATAAATTTGAATATACCACTCTCTCTAAGCCTCGTACTCAACAACTGTGGAAGGAATCCTCCTACTGGCTTCACTTGTTGAGCAGCACATGATTGATATATCTATTTAGCTTTTATCAAATTTCTCATCTTGTTAGTGTGATCATATATGCTTGCCAATGTCGCGGCTTTTTTCAGTTAATTTTCCTTTGTGTTTGTGGAATTTTGGACGAACTCTCGTTCAGTTCAGAATAAGTGAGCTTTGCATATATAAATGCAGCTTCATCACTTCAGTTTACATAGTTCTGTTATGTGGTCAACACACAACAGTCTTAAGTCTTTATGTTTTTGGACGTGTTTACTTTACAAATGTTTCAATTCAATGAATCGGCTGTTTTTTATTCCCTTTGCCCTAAACAGAAATTTATTATCCTTCTGTTACAATTTTACATCACATTTTCATTTTTTGAGATTTAACATATTCCCTTTCCCTTAAGCAAAAATTTTATAATTACAATCAACCCTTGTCTTGTTTGAAAATTGTATTACTGATATAATTAAGATAGAGATAATGCATAAGTATCCCTCTAAACTATGAACGGAATTTCAGCGATCACCGGTTAAGTTAAGGTGTGTCATTAGGAATTCAGTCATAATTTAAGAAGGTATTTATGTATTATTCCATATATATATACACTAACATTTGACATTTAGATACTATCATTTTGCTCGTTACAAATAAAAGAACGCTATATATTAGTTTAATGATTTTAGGTACCAAGAATAAGGAATGTATTCATTAACTAATTTAACCAACAACAAAAAAACCAAACAAATAGAAGAGTGTTTCAAGCATTGGATCTCCTGTCTCCTATCAATTAAGAGGGGTCATGGAAAAAACAGGTTCAAAGTCACGATCAATTCCTTTTTCAAATCCTGTGGCAGCTACACGAGCACAATATCGACAACAAACCCTAACCATTACCAAAAAATGTCTAAAAAGAGACGGCCAAAAGCAATAGAGTGTGTTATTTTTTAAACATATAATAAACGACGTGAAAGCAATGCAATCACTTTCGTCGCAAACTGCCTCTTAGATTTTTCATTTGCGATGGACGGCGTCTCTTTGGAACAACAGACAAGATCCTTTTTCTTCCCATATTTTTTTTTAAAAAAATTCAACAAAAGCGACAAACGGCGTCACAATATTTGAATTAAAAAAAGTGACGGACAACGTCACTTTTCTAAAAAAATTATTAAAGAAATTTCTCGAAAAACAAAGGACAAAAGGAACCTTGTCCAGGGGCAAAGCTACACTGTAGTAAGAGTGTCCAAGCGGACACACTTCATCGAAAAATTACATTGTATATATAAGTAAAATGATACTTTAAATAATTAAATAAGACATTTTGGACACCCTTGAAACAACAAAGTGTGGTGTAACTCAGTGGTTCCAAATGCCTACAACCACACTTTTTTTTACAATTTTTAAAAGAGTTCCAAATTAATATCTAAATCATAATTATTAAATCTGTTATTTTAAAACTTACAACTTAAAAAATTTAAGCAGAAAACATATAAGGTTAGTAGCCAATTGGATTTTTAATTGGTTAGACTTTTGACATTTTCCTTTCTTTTTTTGAATTAAAATTTTAAATAAAATTTAGAAGTAATTATTTAATTTAAAGTTAATAAGCTATTATAAGTGAAAAAAGTTTCATATAATAATTTCTTTTTTAAAAAACTCATTTGATTCTACTCTCTATTTGTCATGTCTGGTTGTTAATGTTATCGTCATCAGAGGTTGGTGAAAGTTTGAAGCAAGTCATTCATTCTAAGCGCTTGAATTTTCTCTTTTTCCTTTATTTTTGTCATTTCATTACCTATTAAATTAAATATGAACATTAAAGCTAAAATATTACGTAATTTGATTTTAAAGTTTTTGTTACATTTATCAACTAAAAAAGTTAATTATTAGTGTTGCATTGTTTGATTTACAAAATTTTAGTGCACCCTTTAGTAAAAAAAAAAATACCTATGTATGATTGTTCATTTTTGAACACCTTTCATGAAATAATATATATATACACTGCTAAGAGTTGATTGATTAGTGAAGTTGATAAGTTAGTTATTACTGTGCTGAGTAAGTTAACTAGATGCCAGCTTCCCATTGGTTCATTAGCACGGTTAGTTAGTTCCCGCCAATGCAGTTGTGTATATATATACTTGGGCATTGTAAACTGGATCTGATTCATTCACTATGATAGATATGAATAAGATTATTATATTCATGTAACAACATTTTTCTTCCATTCTCCTAGAGTAATTAGGTTTACTCATTCGATCAATAAGTTTGTTATGGTATTCGAGTAGGAATGCAATTTCTGAAGAATTCCTATCTTGTTTTGATCAGGGAATTTGCAGATCTGAGGAGGTGACAATGACAGGCAAAATCGACCATACTTATCTCTATATCTATCATCTTCTTATGTGCCAGGTGCAGTTCAAATTGGAATTCAACTCGCAGGAATGGAAAATTACACTTTGTGGAGCAAGGCGATGAAATTGACCTTGTTAACGAAGAACAAATTGGGATTTGTTGATGGCAGCATCATGCGTGAAGATTACACAGTTGATTCTGAGAAGAAACAGTGGGATCGATGTAATGCGATAGTGCATTCATGGCTTATAAGCAATGTGAGAAAGGAATTGATGAGTGGAGTTCTATTTTGTTCTAATGCAACACTGGTCTGGAGTGATCTGAAAGAACGTTTTGACAAGGTGGATATGTCTAGAATCTTCCACTTAAACAAATCGATTGTTACACATACTCAAGGTACTTCCCTATCTCAGTTTATTAGGAGTACTTGAAGTTGAAGGATCTCTAGGATAAATTTGACTCGATTGTTCCCCCTTTCTTTTGTAATTGTGAAAGATCTAAAGAGTATATTGATAGTGTGTTTAGGCAGAAGCTTCTACAATTTTTGATGGACCTGAATGACAATTATAGTCATGCTAGAAGTCAGATTCTTATTATGAATACACCACATATTGTTAATCAGTGCTATGATATGATGATTTAAGATGAAAGTCAATGTGAATTAAGTAAAAGAGCACTATACCTTAGGGGGACAAATAGATCCTGCTGCATCGTTCACTAGTAGATCTGGAGGAAATAGTTTTGGAAGCCAAGGTCCTCGAGGTCAGGTTAATGTGAAATTTCATAAACCATATAGGGTGGATATTTTTACTGTGATCACTGTGAGATGAAGGGCCACAGTCGATCTGATTGCAGCAAACTAAAATATTGCACTCATTGTTACAAACATGGGTATTTAAAAGCCATATATGCTATCCTACCAATTATAAGGGAAAGCAACTAGCAAACATTGTGACAACTGACTGTAGTTCTCAGTTCTATAATTCAGGTGGTTCAACTTATGGTAGTGGTTTAGCTCCACCTATATCACAGATGCAACAATTCAGTAGTGGTAGTTCACATCAGATGCCACAACAATATGACATTAATTCAGGTTTTGGAGGTGGTTGAGTTCCACAATTTACACCTAATCAATACCATCAAATTCTACAGATGATGAACAAGCCATTAATTCCTGAAGGAAATACAACACCTACCAACAACAATGCCCATACAACATGTATTTTTGCAGGATATTCACAGTTCACTCCTTTAACCTCTAGCTTTAATTGGATTGCTGAGAGTGGAGCAACTGATCATTTGGTGGGAACTAAAAGTTTACTAAATCATGGATCAACAGTGAATAGTTCAGGACAGGTTCAACTTTCAAAGGGTGATTCAACTAAAGTCACACACTCAGGTTGTTCTCAACTTCATGGAGGTGATGTAGTCGTTAAGAATGTTTTGTGTGTGCCAGAATTTAACTTTAGCCTTCTTTCAGTGGCTAAACTAACTAGGCAATTGAATTGTTGTGCTATTTTTTTTAATCTTGATTTCTTTCTTTTCCAGGATCTTTTCACTGGGAGAGTGAAGGAGATTGATGAGAAAGATGGTGATAGACAATGGACAGCGTAGGAATTTTGCAGCAATAAAGGACTCTGTTGAAAGTGAAGTTTGGCATAGGAGGCTAGGTCATATACCTATAAGTGTTATAAAAAAATATAGATATATTTGCTAATAAAAAGAATTTTCTATTGCAATGTTGTAGTATTTTTCCATTACCCAGACAATTCTGATTACCCTATCCTACTAGTAATACTAGGAGCTCACAATGTTTTGATTTAGTTCACATAGATGTATGGGTACCCTACAAGTTTACAACTCATAATAAAATGAAGTTCTTCCTTACTTTGGTTGATTACTACTCTAGATGGACGTGGATATATCTTATGCATCTTAAGTCTGATGTTTCTACTATATTGAAACAATTTCTTGCTATGGTTCAGACTCGATACATTGTTTAAGTTAATTCTTTTAGATGGTGGAGATTTTTTTAATGACCAAGTGAGTGAATTGTTTAAATCTCAAGGTATTATACATCAGAGTTCTTGTCCACATACACCTCAACAAAATGGTGTAAAGGAAAGAAAACACAGACATATAATGGAGACAACAAGAGCTATCAAATTTCAAGGCCACATTCCAATAAAGTTTTGGGGAGAGTGTGTCTTATCTGCAGTCCATATTATTAACATAATTTCATCCATTGTGTTGAATAACAAGTCTCTTTTTGTAATGATGTTTAGAAAACAATCAGATTTGTCTTATATGAGAATCATTGGATGTTTGTGTCATGCAACCAAGTTGTTGAGGACTGATAAGTTTGGTCCTAGAACCATCAGATCATTCCTTATGGGTTATGGCACCACACAAAAAGGACACAAACTCTATGATCTGCAAAATAATGTCTTCTTTATCAATAGGGATGTTGTTTTTGATAAATCCATTTTTCCTCTTCAGACTCATACTACTGATGATATGCAGGATATTGTATCACTTGATGAGTCTCGGGTTTCAGTTTTAACAGTCAGACCTAATGGCCTTGACTATATGGATGACCTTACTGATACTAGTGGGCACTTTTGATCATGATCTTGAGGATGACCATCTGCAGGACCAACCAGATGCAAGTCCCCAGCCAATTGTTGAAGAACCTGCTATGAGCTCCATTTTAGAAAGAAGACAATCCACTAGAACTTTCGGACCTCCACTTTGGCAAAAGGATTTTGTAACTACATACAAGTATAGATCAAAGTCTCATTACTTATACCCTTGC